GGAGCGGGAAGGATTAATGCTTATCGTGCCGTGTCATTAGCTCAAACATACCATAATTCCAATGATACAATCACATCAAACACTTTATGGTCAGAAAACAGTTATCAAGGTGGAAATATGGTCGTTGATTCTAACGCAACGCTAACAGTAACAGGAATCATACACTTTGGACCTGATGCCCGCCTCGTCGTCCGTCCCGGCGGCAAGCTCGTGGTGGACGGCGGCACACTGACCTCCGCCTGTCCCAGCGAGATGTGGCAGGGCATCGAGGTGGTGGGCGACCCCACCAAGCGGCAGATTCCGCAATGGCAGGGAACAGTTGAGCTGAAGAACGGCGCGGTCATCGAGAATGCCTTCTGCGGTATCCATACAGGATACCATGGTAATGCCGCGTATGCCACCACCGGAGGCATCATCACCGCCGACAGCGCGTTCTTCATCAACAACCGGCGTGCCGTGGCTTTCCTTTCCTATACCAACCATTCACCGGCTGGCACCATTATGGACAACCAAAGCAGCTTCAGCAGGTGTGTGTTCACCGTGGACAACAACAATCTCTTCTCCCAGAACAGCACCGACTTCCTTGACCACGTCACGATGTGGGAGGTGAGAGGGGTGAAGTTCCTGGGCTGCACGTTCACCAACCAGACGAACGAACGTCACCAGCGTCGCCACGCCATCTATGCCGATGATGCAGGGTTCAAGATAGACACTTACTGCAAAAGTCCCACGAACATTTTTCTCGATTGCGAATGCCCGGAGGCTCTTTCGACATACAACACCTTCTCTGGGTTCAGCACGGCGGTGGAGGTGCTCACCACGGGCGTGCAACACGCTGTCCAGATCAACCATGCGCTTTTCAGCAACAACCATACGGCTGTGAAAATTGACGGCAACCATTTTGCCAGCGTGACGCGGTGCGAGTTTGACCTCGAGCAGGTGCCAGTCCAGTCGCTGAGCAACAGAGGGTTGGATTTGAGAACCTGCACGGGTTATTTGGTGGAAGGCAACACTTTCAGCCGGAGCACTTACAGCGACCCCACGCTGTTTGCCTCGACCGGCATCTATGTTGACAATTCGGGGAACAGCGACAATCTTCTGCATCGGAACACGTTCGAGAAATTGGGTTATGGCATCAGCGTGAATGGTGCGAACGGGGACAGTCGGGCAGGTTTGCAGGCCACCTGCAACGATTTCAACCACAACAAGTACGACATATACATGACCAACGGATCCTCCATGCGGAATACGCAGGGATGGAGCAACAATGGTGCCGACAATAGTTTCGTCAATACACAGACAAGCAGTTTCCGCTATGTGGGTTCGCCATCAATCACGTATTACTATAGTAGCGGCGGTTATCATACACCCTACAATCTCAATAACTCTTACGTGAATGAGAACAGTTCAGCCGCAGCCAACCCCTGCTCCTCCACATTGTGCAATGATGGATGGAGTCAGCCAAAATTGGCGGAGTTCCAGTCCGATATGGATGCCTATACAGGTTCAACCCAATCGTTGTCTGAGACTTATCACGCAATCGTGCGCGCCATTATGTCCGACACCGTGCTGGATCTCAACGAGTTGGAGATGTGGCACACCGCCGCGCAACCCATCGCCGACCCGTATTCGTTGACGGAGACGAGGTTCATGGAGGGTTATGCGGAAATTTTCGCAGAAAATGCGGAAACGGATGCGGAAACGGCGAACTATGCGGAATTTCATGCGCTGAAATTGGCGTTGCGGGAAGTTAATGACGGCATCGTAGGGGCGAATAATCATTCGCCCTTACAAACGGACGGCCACATCAATTGGTACGCATTGACACCCGCCCAGATTGCGCAATTGCAGACGATTGCCGAACGCAACACCGGCCGCGCCTCGGTGATGGCCAAGGGGGTGCTGTGTTTCTTCCACGGGATTTGTTACGAGGACGAATGGGATAACGTGGGCGCATTCGACACGCCCCAACAGGGCGGCACCGCCACCATAATCGTGA